TTGTTGTGCACTTGTAGGGAGTATTATCTGTAACATAAGGGTGAGTTGTTGTACAGTTGTAGGGAGTATTATCTGTTACATAAGGGTGAGTTGTTGTACAGTTGTAGGGAGTATTATCTGTTACATAAGGGTGAGCTGTTGTACAGTTGTAGGGAGTATTATCCGTTACATAAGGGTGAGTTGTTGTACAGTTGTAGGGAGTATTATCTGTTACTTGAGGGTGAGTTGTTGTACAGTTGTAGGGAGTATTATCTGTTACATAAGGGTGAGTTGTTGTACAGTTGTAGGGAGTATTATCCGTTACATAAGGGTGAGTTGTTGTACAGTTGTAGGGAGTATTATCTGTTACTTGAGGGTGAGTTGTTGTACAGTTGTAGGGAGTATTATCTGTTACATAACAGTGAGTTGTTGTACAGTTGTAGGGAGTATTATCTGTTACATAACAGTGAGTTGCTGTACAGTTGTAGGGAGTATTATCTGTTACATAACGGTGAGTTGTACAGTTGTAGGGAGTATTATCTGTTACATAATGGTGAGTTGTAGGGAGTATTATCTGTTACATAATGGTGAGTTGTAGGGAGTATTATCTGTTACATAATGGTGAGTTGTAGGGAGTATTATCTGTTACATAATAGTGAGTTGTAGGGAGTATTATCTGTTACATAATGGTGAGTTGTAGGGAGTATTATCTGTTACATAATGGTGAGTTGTAGGGAGTATTATCTGTTACATAATGGTGAGTTGTAGGGAGTATTATCTGTTACATAATGGTGAGTTGTAGGGAGTATTATCTGTTACATAATGGTGAGTTGTAGGGAGTATTATCTGTTACATAATGGTGAGTTGTAGGGAGTATGGTGTGTACAGTTATGGTCTATTTTATTACCTTGAAAACGTTCTGTAGATCAGTCATCAGTAACTTGGTTCGGTGATATCACCCGCATCATCTCCATGGGGATACTTGATTTAATGCCATATTGTGAAACATTCCAGGCAAAGAAATAACCTTCCACCATGTCAGAGTTTGTGTAACTTTAATCCATGTGTGAATTATTGAGCCTTGAGTTTTCATGATGGCTTCTCTTCACCAAACTATCTCAATATATACCCCAAAACTGCAGCCAAAAAAAAAAAAAAAACATATTTGGGAAAACTTCTACTTAGAGCATTTTTTCCCAAAGACTAGGTCATGACCCTCAGGTGGGTTGCAAGAAAAAAAAAATTGTGTCACCTTGTCACAATCTGCATGTAGGTTGAAATGCTAAGACATGTTTTGTATATTTTTAACAATTTTGTTCCAATTTTTGCTGGTTCAATTGAACGCTGAAAAGAAAAAGAAATGAGCTACATTAAATGTCCAAATAGGCGACTTATGGATCCTTTTATTGCTGCTCCAATAACTGTTTTTCATTGTTTAAAACTTGAGTCAGTCAACCATAAAATATCCTCATTAATGTTCAAAAATGGTCAAATCCACTTCAATTTTGTGATTTATGAATAATGTCTATTGACTTGGGTCGTGAACGTTTCTGATCCTTAAAATATGGGTCCCCAGAAAAAAAGTTTGGGAAACATGAACTTAGGCTACGTTCAGACTGCAGGGCTTAATGCTTAATTCAGATTTTTTGTGTGAAATCCGATGTTTTTGCGAGGTCGTTCACATTTCCAATTAAATTCGACTTGTATGTGATCTCCAGTGTGAACGTTAAACGGCCCAAAAGTGTCCCGCATGTGACACTGGAGACACGACAACGTCAACCGCAGCGAGCGTGCTCTGTGTTTACGGAAGTCGCCTAAACATAGCCAAGTCCACCGCGTGATAAGGTGTAGGTGGGATGAATGCGCCTTGACCGTTCAGACTGAAGTCGCGTGTCACAAGATCGGATATGTATCGGTTTCAGGAGCACATGTCCAAGTGTCCTGGGTCGCATTTTAAAAAATTGGATCTGTGTGGTTCAGACTGTCATTAAAAGATCACATACAGGTCACATAGGGGCCAAAAAAATCAGATTTGGGTCACTTCAGGCTGCAGTCTGAACGTAGCCTTGGAGTCTGGATGTGAAAGTAAAAACTGTGAAGTACTCAGGTAATTGTAACAGAGTACATGTGACTGGACAAACTTGGACCAGGTTTATCCAGACCTGAACCACCAGGACAAGCCCCAACAATTAAGTATATCATGTTTTTTTCTGATCTAGGCCATGTTCTAATGTTGTTTCCTCATCACAAACGGACCTGGAGTTGTGTTTCGTTTCATTCACACATGTTTAACGCACAAACCCTGCATATTTAGGTTCTTCTCTCAAACCGAAAACACTGTTCCGCCTTGTAATACTGGAATGATTTGGATGATTTCAGCCCAGAAATTTCGAACAAAAGGTAAAAGGCGGCTTCGCGATATCACAAAATGGAACAGAGCTTTTTGTTTGAGCTTTGGAAATGTAGACAGACAAACAAAACACAACTCCTGGTCTGTTTTTGAGGAGATAACAACATTCTAACATGTCTTAAATCTCATAGAAATCAATTTTGTGTAATATAAGACCTTTAAACTGTAAATATTTTGAGTTCCACCAGTGTAAGACAGCAAAATACTTCATGACCACTGCTTTTCCTCTTTCGTATTATAGAGAAAAGTGACTAACTGATGGAAAACCTGATGTCAGTTCCCTCCCGTGACTCAGACAATGCCCCATACGCTAAATTTAATAACGTGAACGAGACACTAAAGCTTTCAAATACCTCCCGGGCGTTCTCATCCTTGACATACTCACATCATGTAGATACAGAAGCACGAATGGTATTTGCTGATAGATTTTTTTTTGTCGATGAGTTGCCTAATTCACCCTTCGTATCTTCTTGTGTCATGTCTCTATAAACAGCTCAGCGGGGTCATGGTTCGTAAATGCACCGAAACAGAAAACGTGCACGCCGGATTTGTGGATTTGGACACGCTCGCTGTCGGCCTATTCATCTTCTGACTTATACTTTTTTTTTATTGGCAACAACCGTAGCTCAAATAACAGAGAAGTTAAGAGTTTGTGGAAAGGGCTAAGATACAGACTATTAATCATAAATCAGGGTAAAACGTCTGTGTTTTGGCGCTCAAATCGCTCGTCTGATCGTAGAACTTTGGTTTGCCCTCGTCCGCGTCAGCTTTAAAGTCTTTACAATGAAATGACATTACAAGGACGCCAGCTATTTTTAGAGTGCAGGTCACGTTGCGGTATTAAGCCTAGATTTAAGCAAAGCTCCTCCCCGATCATCTATATCGGGGACTTTTCTAATAATGCAACATGCCCACTTTTAGTCAAGTAATTGTCGAGCGTAAAAGTAAAAGAACGAGAACTTCACACATCAGTTACTTGAGATTCGTGCGCTGGAGGAGAGGGAGCACCCCAAGAACAAATTGTGAGTTTTATTAGACCACCTGAGCTCTCATTCTGTTTGCCTGACGAAGATCTAGTGCCAAAACGTTGCACGGTTTGTCCTAATAAAACTCAGAATTTGCAAGTAAGACGGTGTGTGGGATTTTTCTCTATGTTCTCTAAGTGTAAAAGTAAAAAATAAATAAATACACGTGCAATTCGTCCATGTCTGAGCAATCTTTAAACGCTTATTTTCAACCAGGAACCGATATTTTATCTTAAAAGTCAAGTTCTAGTAATAATAATAGAACAGAGAACAACAGACTGTTAATGTATTTTTTTGGACTATAAGTCACTCTGGAGTATAAGTCCCACCAGCTAAAAAATGCATAATGAAGAAGAAAAAACATATATAAGTCGCACTATTCGGGGGAAAATAATTTTATGAAATCAGAGACCAGAGACATTTCACCTTAAAAGTCAAGTTCTAGTAAAAACAATAGAACAGAGAATAAGAGGCTGTTAACGTCACATATGAACAGTTCTTCAGATAAACTATAACATAAACAACAACAACAGAACAAGTTTAACAAACTCTCCATCTCACTCCAAATCACTAAATCCATTCAATTCTTCATCCTCGGTGTCACTTCTGAGCAACTCCTCGACCTCCGGAGGTAAACAGAGCGCCGCTTCCTCTTCGCTGTCGTCAGACTCAGCATCAGTTCCAGTTAGAATTATTCTGGTCTTTCTGAATCCAGACAGGATGGTTTCGGTGTCACTGAAGTCCAGACTTTGTCCATCCATCCAGTGACTTCAGGAAAGTTTCATGGTGCATCCTTCCGCTGTCACAAGTTTCTCGTTCACTCCAAACTTTCTTTCTGCTGCTCAGTTACCGTTTTTGGCTTCATATTTCACGACTTGCAGTTTGTAATCTGCAAAATATGATTTTCTTTTTGGGGGCATTTGTGCTCAGTCTTCTCAGTCGTCTTTATAAGTTTGTTTAGATGTTAAATTGTTCAGTGGTGCAGAAGTAACGGTTTGATCGACTGACATGATACAGACAGGACAGAGGCTCTTTCTGCAGGAGACATGCGCAGTAAGGAGCAAAGTGACAGTGGTGCAGGAGGAACAGGAGCAGCAGATACTCACACACAAGACTTGAGCTTCTCCACGCTTCAGTGTGAAAATTTGAATATATAAGTCGCACCGGAGTATAAGTCACAGGAAACACCCAAACCATAAAAAAAGTGTGACGTATAAGTCCAAAAAATACTAAAATACTGTTGATCGATCTCCAATTTTATTTTCTTTATCGGTGATACGTGTAGGATTCTTCTGCTCATTACTGTGATGTGCAGATATCCATTGGAGGGTCTGACAACTTCACAGCTCTTTGTTGTGATGATGTTTACAGCGATATCAGCTCCCATTGGGCACTGCGGTTTTCTAGCTCGGAAATCAGCTGACTTCTTTCTTTTATTACATTGTTTTAGATCAATATTTGTGATTTAAAATGTCCAAATTATAACGTAAAGATCTACAGGTGTCACAGATTGTAACTTTATAGAAGACACAAGCACATTTTGACGTACGTTGACTCAAAACTTACTCTTTTCTCGTCTCTCGCAGGTGTCCCCATCGCCCTTTAGGTAGCCCCACCCCCTCACAGATCCGACATGTCTCAGCGCAGCGGGCAGGAGGACCCCGAGCGGTACCTGTTCGTGGACCGGGCCGTGGTCTACAACCCCGCCACGCAGGCCGACTGGACCGCCAAGAAGCTGGTGTGGGTGCCCTCGGAGCGCCACGGGTTCGAGGCCGCCAGCATCAAGGAGGAGCGGGGCGAGGAGGTCATGGTGGAGCTGTCGGAGAACGGCAAGAAGGTCCTCATCAGCAAGGACGACATCCAGAAGATGAACCCGCCCAAGTTCAGCAAAGTGGAGGACATGGCCGAGCTCACCTGTCTGAACGAGGCCTCGGTGCTGTACAACCTGAAGGACCGCTACTACTCCGGACTCATCTATGTGAGTAATGTGGTGACGGCGAGCGCTGAGAATGTGGACGTGTGGAGTGACAGACAGGCAGAGATACACAAAGGAAAACAAGTGTCACTCATGGTAGAGAAGTAAAAGTGTCTCTACGATACCTAGGAGTGTGCAAAAATGTCAAAATATCAATGAGTGCGTATACATGTACATCAATAACCCGGTTATGATCGGGTTTTTTGAGTATCCCGGTTTCTTGATGGTGCATGTAAACGCAGTAACCCGGTTTCAGTAACCCGGTTATGGCAGTATCCCGGTTATTAGAAACCGGGTTACTGTAGCTGGTTTATTCCGATAATAACCAGGATACTTGTGGCATGTATAACGCAGTATCCCCGGTTACTGCAACATAAAGTTGAGTGCGCATGCGTCCAAAAGACACTTTCCAGCCTTTCACCACAACAGTAGTGACATAAATAAATTGACCAACATAAATAAAGTGAAAGTGACCAAACGAGTGAAATGACTGTAAAATAAAGAGCTGCGCTAAACCTGCACACGTACAATCTGCACTCGTACGACCTGCACTCGTGTGATCGCTGAAAAGCTAAAACATGAACTATCTCCTATACGACACACGCACGGAACACACTCACCATCATCAGCACCTCTTCTGTCACAGAAATAACACACATAATCCACAGAGTCATGTCATTTAGTCCAAAAACTCCAAAAGAAACTGATCTCATCAGCGGCGCAAGGAGCGAGTTGTTTTTATCGCCGCTAACAGTTTATGCTAATTAGCCAAACGGTCTTAAGTTTCGTTTCTGTAAAACATAAACAAATGTGATCACAGCTGAATTATCTGATCAAACGGGCTGATGTGTCTATAGTGTTTATGGTTTATATGTTGTAAAGTTGAGTTTATTTATGCAGAAGATTTTAATGAAGAATCTGCACAGTGGATTGTGGGAGATCTCGTAGCTCCTTAGCTTCTTATGCTAAAGGAGCTCACGGTTTGTATTTTTCCTGGTTTATGAAATTGATTTAAGTTAATTTTTGCGCCTGCGCATTTGTAAGATTATGTCAAGAAACCGGGATACTCCATTTGATCATGTACACGCGGATATGAGTGTCCCGGTTTCTCAGTGCGCATGTAAACGCAGTAACCCGAATACTGACAGAACCGGGATATGGCTAATAACCGGGTTATTGATGTGCATGTATACGCACTCACTATATCGTTTCGTTTAATGCAGAGGTTTTCAACGTGGGGGGTCGCGGAGGTACTAATAGTTGCTGGAACGGGCGGATTTTAACGTTCCGGAATTTTACGGGCGGGTCAGGACTAAACCAGGACTATACCAGGACTAAACTTGGACTTGAGAGAGACAGAACCCCAAGCGAGAGAGAAAGCGCGATCGGACGACGTCTGCGATCTGCTCCGGTCCTTTTGCCTGTGGTCACCCGACGGTCTACGAGGGCGCAGTTCAGTTTTGGTTTAGTCCTGTTTTAGTCCTGGCTTAGTCCTAATTCAGTCCTGGTTTAGTCCTCCTGGTTCTGTCCTGAAATCAGCCCTGGGTTAGTCCTGGTTCAGTTCTGGTTTAGTCCTGTTTTAGTCGTGGTTTAGTCCTAGTTCAGTCCTGGTTTAGTCCTCCTGGTTTTGTCCTGGAATCAGCCCTGGGTTAGTCCTGGGTCAGTCCTGTTTTAGTCCTGGTTTAGTCCTGGTTTTAGTCCCTAGTTCAGTCCTGGTTTAGTCCTGGTTTAGTCCTGGTTTAAGTCCTGGTTTAGTCCTAGTTTAGTCCTAGTTCAGTCCTGTGGTTTAGTCCTGGTTTTGTCCTCCTGGTTTTGTCCTGGAATCAGCCTTGGGTTAGTCCTGGGTCAGTCCTGGTTTAGTCCTGTTTTAGTCCTAGTTCAGTCCTTCTGGTTCTTTCCTGGAATCAGCCCTGGGTCAGTCCTGTTTTAGTCCTGGTTTAGTCCTAGTTCAGTCCTGGTTCTGTCGTGGAATCAACCCTGGGTTAGTTCTGGGTTAGTCCTGTTTTAGTCCTGTTTTAGTCCTAGTTCAGTCCTGGTTTAGTCCTCCTAGTTCTGTCCTGGAATCAACCCTGGGTCAGTCCTGGTTGTCCTAGTTTCCTGGTTTAGTCCTGGTTTAGTCCTGGTTTTAGTCCTGGTTTAGTCCTGGTTCCCTGGTTAGTCCTGGTTTAGTCCTGGTTTAGTCCTGGTTTAGTAGTTCTGGTTTAGTCCTGGTGTAGTTCTGGTTTAGTCCTGAGTCTGGTGTAGTCCTGGTTTAGTCCTGGTTAGTCCTGGTTTAGTCCTGGTTTTAGTCCTGGTGTAGTCCTGGTTTCCTGGTTGGTTTAGTCCTGGTGTAGTTCTGGTTTAGTCCTGGTTAGTCAGTTCTGGTTTAGTCCTGGTGTAGTCCTGGTTTTGTCCTGGTTGGTTAGTCCTGGTTGGTCTGGTTAGTCCTGGTGTAGTCCTGGTTTAGTCCTGGTTTAGTCCTGTCTGGTGTCCTGGTTTAGTCCTGGTGTAGTTTCTGGTTTAGTCCTGGTGTAGTTCTGGTTTAGTCCTGGTGTAGTCTGGTTTTAGTCCTGGTTTAGTCCTGGTGTAGTCCTGGTGTCCTGGTTTAGTCCTGGTGTAGTTCTGGTTTAGTCCTGGTGTAGTAGTCCTGGTTAGTCCTGGTTTAGTCCTGGTTTAGTCCTGGTTTAGTCTGGTTTAGTCCTGGTTTTCCTGGTCTGTTAGTAGTTCCTGGTTTAGTCCTGGTGTAGTTCCTGGTTTAGTCCTGGTTTAGTCCTGGTTTTAGTCCTGGTTTAGTCCTGGTCCTGGTTTAGTCAGTCCTGGTTAGTCCTGGTGTAGTCCTGGTCCTGGTTTAGTCCTGGTGTAGTCCTGTTTAGTCCTTAGTCCTGGTTAGTCCTGGTGTTAGTCCTGTCCTGTTTAGTCCTGGTTTAGTCCTGGTTTGGTTTAGTCCTGGTTTAGTCCTGGTTCAGTCAGTCCTGGTTTAGTCCTGGTTTCCTGGTTTAGTCCTGGTTTAGTCCTGGTTCAGTCCTGTTCAGTCCTGGTTTAGTCCTGGTTTAGTCCTGGTTAGTCCTGGTTCAGTGGTTCAGTCCTGGTTTAGTCCTGTTCCCTGGTTCAGTCCTGGTTCAGTCAGTCCGTGGTGTGGTCTGTGAAGTGATGTCAGTCGAGTCGCGTCTGTGACTTCGTGTTCGTACTGAAGAAAGTGAAAGCCTTTCATTTCATTTCATTTCGTGATTGTAATAATAACAGAGTCGCTGTTTATACGCGACACTTTATTATAAAACACAGTTGTATGACATATATTTAGTAGTATTTAGTCCAGCTCTCCGTTAGGGGGGTTCCTGGCCTGAAAAACGTTGAAGACTCCTGGTTTAATGTGATGATACAGTATCGACATCGTGGGCTGCTGTATCGATTTATCACCAAGAGAACTTTTTGGTTTATTTTACTAGATTATTTTGTTACAGCGCTGCAGTTTTGTTGCTTATTTTGCAGGAAGGAAACTCATTTATGTGACACATTTCATATTTTCTCAGTTTTGATGATTAAAATGGGTGTGTTTTGTTTTCACTTTGCACAAGAAGTGGTTTAACAAAGACTTTTAGTGTCTCTAGTTTGAACCATATTGAACTGATTTGAAATACATCACACTGAATCATATCATGGCCTGTGTATCGAGGTCAGTGTCGGGGAGTAACAGATTACATGTACCGGAGTTACATAATCAGAGTACAAATTATGAGTAACTGTATTCAGTTACAGTTACTGTTTCAGTGAGTGGTAATTGGATTACAGTTACTTTGTTGAAATAAATTGATTATTTTCCTGTGTTCACATTTTGGGCTATTCCCTTTTTTGTTTGTTTTTGTTTGGTAATTCCACTCATTGTCAGACATTAACCAGGTCTAAAACCAGGTCTAAAACCAGGTCTAAAACCAGGTCTAAAACCAGGTCCAAAACCAGGTCTAAAACCAGGTCTAAAGCAGGACTAAAGCAGGACTAAAGCAGGACTAAAACCAGGTCTAAACCAGGTCTAAACTATTACTAAACCAGGACTAAAACCAGGTCTAAACCAGGTCTAAACCAGGACTAAACTAGGACTAAACCAGGACTAAACCAGGTCTAAAACAGGATTTAACAGGTCTAAATCGTGCCGTGTTTCCTCCTCTTCTATCAATAATATTTTTAATTTGGTTAAGGAAAATCTGGGCTTTTTATTTTCTTTTATCAGACAAAACATCTTATGTGAAGATTTCCTCGTCTTTGCTTCTCTACAGCAAATCAAGTAATCCAAAGTATTCAGATTACGTTACTCACTTTAAGTAATTTAATGGATTTCGTTGCAAACTACATTTTGGGATATGTAATCTGTAATCTGTAGGGGAAAACATTTTAAAAGTCACCTTCCCAACACTGGTGTATGAATGTGTGTGTGAATGGGTGAGTGGTTCCTTGTTGTAAAGTGCTTTGAAGGTGGAAAACACTATAGAGAAATGTGACCATTTAAGTTTCAGTTATATGACATATTAAAAGGTTTATTATGTAACTTTTCCTATTCACCCATGACTTAAACTTATCTATCTCCTTGATGACATTCAGGTGACCTAACCAAGCCAAGTTTGTTTGTTTTTTTAATTTTTGTTTTGCAATAAAAACACTTTATTTGGTATTAAACCTTTCTATCTTCATGGAGACGAAACCAGACCAAGTTACAGGTCAGATCTGTGGAGAGGCGACCCCGCTCACAGTCAGAGTGCCTGTTTTTGAAGTATTTTAGAGCTATAAAACCACCTGCAATTGAATAAATGTAAGGTAGAGCTGCTTAATGTCACACTGTGGAACATTAAAGCAAGTGGCAGCGCTCCCACCAGAAAAGTTACATATTGCACCTTTAATTCAAGCAACATTCAGACAAAGGTGTAAGAAGTTATTTAATTGCAGATTCTTGAAGTTGAAATAATATTGAAACCTGTCAAAAAAAACAAAACAAATCTCTCTCACTGAAAAAGGGAGAGAGATTTTTTGTTATT